CACGGTTTAAGAGATAAAACGGATCTATGAAAAAGGGTAAACTCCCTGGTTGCGACAAGTGACGCGCTGCATGTGCGCCACTTGTCGCGACCTGGAAAAGTGGAGTGTTCTTTGCAATGAGTACTCCTTAATTAGTGATTTCGCTGTGTCGTACTGGCACTGCAGCAGTCTATTTTAGAAGTTAAAAAAATCAGTCTTTTTAGGCAGTTCTTTTAAAATTCCGATTTCTTTGTAAATACGAACATTTTTATAAAAGATAATATTTTTTCGAAAATGGAGCAGTTTTTGTAATTTCTGAAAAAAACGCAAGCATTTTTTTAATCTATGAACAATTTTTGGAAACATGAACATTTTGTGAAATTCCCAAACTTGTTTGGTTTCCTTTCATGCTCTTGTTATTTCAGGTTGTTCTGCAATGAAGCAACGATTTGTTAATCTATCTTGTGGGGAGTGTGTCTCTAGCCATTATTCTTTGAGGCCTCGTTCAGTTTACAGGATTTCCAAATCAGAGGGGTAGGAAAGGTAAATGGTTAGAATGAGATGCCAACTCTAATCCTTAGAAAATTTCCACGAGGTCTCACTTAATGCTAAGAATCCTACTAGGGAATGAACAAAAGAATCCTCCAAGGAATGAGGTCAATATAGACACAATCCTCTGGAATCTTGTACCTATGTTCCTCTGAAACAAATTCTAACAGATGAAAAATTCCTCTAGGAAAACCGCAAACCGAACAAGTCCTCAGCAGGTTGCTTACATCTCTTCACAGGATGTTTAAGATATGATCACAATATATAAAAAAAAAGGAACATGACTTGATGCATGTAACTACCATTTTTCTCATTGAGGACCTTGTTGGCCCCTCTTCATTTAGTTCTATTCATTTTCTTCAAAAATGGTGTAACTTTATTAAAGCAGGAAATGCTGGACATAGGAAAGCTGTATGGCGATGCTATTTTGTGTTGAAAATGCAGAATAACCTTCAGCAGAACTGAAGGGCACAACAATGTTGACTTGGTGAGGTGTGCTCCGTTATTCTGCTTCAGCTGTGGCAACCCAGAGGCCGGTTAATGAACTGTGATGTAATAGGGACCATAGCATTTGCAAGCGTTTTCATAATACTGTATCACAATCACTATTTACAATTTTAGCAAGAATTTCCACCCGTTTGTACTAGGGGTCAATCAGCAAACTGATTCAACCAAACAACTTTATTTTGTTGACCCAATGATGTAAGCCAGTCCCCTTTCTTTCAAGCCCGTCTTAAAAAATCAAATGATCCTCACCAGATACTTTGCTTGTGAAGTCGCAGTTTTCCAGAGTCAGATAAAGAGAGGAACGACTCAATCGTCCATTTCCTCTTGCATAATCTCATTACAAAGCATACAATTGGTATTACAACCTCAGGTGTACATCGAGCAAAAGGAATCAGTGATTGTGGCCGGCATCTGACAAAAAACCTTCTATGTTATCCTCCAAAGAGCCCAGTCAAATGATTGGAGATCAATAAAAAATAAATTTGAGGCCCTTAGTTCGCAGCCAGAAATTCAGTTGGTTGAATTTGCACCGTGAGACCTCCGTGCAAATGTTGCGGCTACAAGTAACGGGAAAGCGATAGTCGCATCACAGTGAACCTGGATTTCCAAAAGCTGGAATGTTAGATTACAATAATGATGATCACCAAATATGATGTATGAAAACCATCGCACAGCACAATTAGGGCCAGTTCTTTTGGGCAGGTGCATCATGATCATTATACCCTATACCTAAGGAACATTTTACCTAGTACTAGTATGCAAAACACAAAACAAAAATATCTCAAACTTGTGAGCATCTGTATATACCTTTACAGGCTTTGCTGAACCTTTGATCTTTCCCCATGAAACTGCTTCATCTGGCTGTGCCCCTGAGTCGCTTCCATCAAACTCTTGAGCTGTGTTGATATAGACTGCATAATCTGCACCATTGCGAAACATATTTGCATTGCATATGTGATGCTTTGGAAGGCCTCCACCAAGAATTATGGCCCCGGTCTTCCTTGGGCTTGCATGAATGGCTTCACCATTTATCAACCTTATATCTGCAAAACCATTCAAGCATTTGAAAACGAACACAAAGTAAGGATATCAAATAAAGTGGAACTTACCTTGTACAATGTCGATAATAAGACCAGGATTGCGAACTGCATGACAAAACAGCATGTCTCCGAGTGATCCATCAGTCAATGCTGGGCAGTATACAGGAATATTGTTCTGGTCGATTTTAACGAGTCAGCACTTCGCAACTTCAGTCATTGCACAAATAGTTCTTGAAAGTTAAGAATTTCAACCGAGAAAAAAGAACCCAGTGTGAAGCATATTCTCCATGGAATAAAGTGAAGGACAACCCAATAAGTGTAACAACCAGCCAGCAACTCTACCATGCTTACTTACATCTGCTAAACTGTGACCCACCACTTCAGAAAAAATAAAAATTTGGTTAAGGAATGATTACTATTTCTGGGTAAATCATAAGACTCAATACGGTAAAGAATTTTTTATGGTAAAACAAAACCAATATGAGAATCAAACTCAACAAAATTCTTAAGAAGAAACTCTAGATTATCTCCCTGTTTACCAAACATAGTTATTTCCAGACTTCTTAAATACGATCAGCATTTACACAAACACATGCCTGCAGACTTTCTGATAATTTGAAAAATAATGAAGAACTGTCAAAAGCATGCTACCTTGTATGCCCAATAAAGGTAGGAGCTTTCATCATTTATTTCCTTGCCAAGACGAGCAATCACTTTTGATGGTGTCCAAACATTCTGTAGGTAACAAGAAATAAAAAAAAAACATAAGTATGGTCAGCAGTGAAGCTTGTACAAAGAATTCACATTGTAGGAAATGCTGGATCATCTTTAATTAAAAGATCAAATATCAACCGAGGTGCAACAATATCTGCATAGACTTCAGCAATTTGTGCAGAAACTTATAAAGTGTACTTCACACAGTAGGTTTGACAAGATTCTGTAGTCTGGATGCTTATTCATGTATATATTGCTAGATGCATACATCTGAAAGAAAGGAAACTCATGGCGCCGGGTTACAATAAAGTTCGCGACTTCATGTTATGTAGAATTTCAGTTGTTTTAAGCATTCTTTCTATAGCATGTGAAACAAATACTATTGTAAGTACTTTGAGTCAGATTTAAGTTCTCTTCATTTTAATTGTTTTTTTCTTTCCTGCTTATTTGTTGTTCCAGAAAAGTAATTGTGTACCCTTCAATTAAGGAAATTTTCAAAGACTACAAGACAACCCTATCAAAATTATATTACTACTAGTTTCGCTAAATACAAGATATAATTAATGTACTCTCCTATTCATGCATCCCCTGCAAATTACCAACTTTGCAGCTAATTTATGCATCAAAAGCTTCCGTGTGCAGTATAATGGGCCCATGACATGTACAAGGAAGGGTAGCCATAATCCACATTATTGGGGGATTTCGGTAACTAGGGACATACCGAACGAAAATTAGAACTGATTATTACCAGCTTGCTTAAGCCAAGAGGAATGATTACCTCAGTAGATTGTTCTTGTAGCATCTGGTCAAAGAGTGGCATGATCCAGTTTTCAAACTTGCAATAGTTATCATTAGGCACCAACAGATTTCCTATCCGGTTAAGTCCTTTTGACCGTAGCAGTGCCCCAGGTAAAGAAAATTCACCTCGGTACGTTGGTGCTAGGCATTTTATGAGGTCTTCCTCTATACCCCCAGCTGTCGTTACAATAACATCCACCTGAAGAATTTTGTGGAAAATAATTAGCATGGATTAGGAAATCAATGGATATGCAGTTAGTGATTAACTGGAACAAACATCTCCAGGCGACTAGGCATACTTCTAATACACAGATTCTTAAAATGATATTTGAGGTTGCTTTGCTTTCAGATTTGCACACGTGACACAGAGTTGGAGCATTTACCATGTGATGTTGAACTAGAAACCGTATTACATCCCGTATACCGGAAGAAACAAGGTTTGAAGTGAAACCAAGGAATATCTTGCACTTCACAGACTCTCTGTATTTCGGGTCAAGTTCAGCTTCATCACAGTCCTCGGTTGGCTTCTCATGCGACAACCTCCAATCTAACTTCATTGTAGCAAATTACAGTGGAGAAAGAGTCAGTAGAATGTAAGGAGAGTAGCGAAAATCGGCAAAAATTCTGGAAAATAGTACTTAATTTTCGGAAGCATGCATAGTGATATGACAGGCATTCCTTCATCTATAGATTACCTCCAGCTATTTTAATGCACAGCACTTGGATTAAATAAAAGACTCCAAAGTGACACACATTCAGCTAGACTGTTCAGATACATCTAAAAGATTTACTTTGGAAAAAAAAAAAACACTTGTCAGCTCCACCCTGCATCGAAGCGATATATATCCAACTATCTAAGTGCTCTAAATGGCGAAATAAACGGAATAAATCATCTGCTTCACCTAGTTCTGCTAACTAATCCCGTGCTCAAAAGGAAAAGGCAAGCTCGCAGGTGGAGAGAAAGGGAAAAGCGGGCGGTGTACCGTACCATCTGATTGACGACGTCAATGGCGTCGCCGAGGTTGGACGCCTGGAACCCCGTCGAGGCGAGCGACCCAAGAAGCCCGTCGAGGCCGAGGCCGGCGTCGTTGAAGTCGGCGCCGGCGATTTTGGTGAACCGCGACTCGTCGAGGGACTCGGACGGCTTCAGCACGATGGCGCGGACGCCCTCCAGCGGGTCCTTGCCGCGCTCTCCGCCGCTTCCGCCCTCGCCGGCCATCTCCGGCGAACCACTGACCTGGAGCACGAGCCTCCGCCGCCGCCGCCCGCGAGAAACTCACTTTTCCCCCCCGGCGAAAATACTGTACTGAAGCGAACCAGGTTCCGTCCGGTCTGGTCTCTTACTTCCGGGAGCGACTAGCATAGAATCTGGACCGTTGGATTACAAATCGACGGCACAGATTCTAGTACAGGATGAAGTACCATCTGATATTCTCCCCCCTGACGACCCACGACACGCAAACAATCCCAGATCCACCGCTGCTGTCTACTCCCCCACCGAGCTGCCGGCCGGCCGGCCAGCCACCGCTGCTCGGAGACCCGATGGCCATGGACGCATCACCTCGGCTCTACCGCCGGCTCAGGAAGGCATCCGACATCTCCATCGCCACAACCGCTCCCTCCTCGTCCAAGCGTGTACGCGGCCACCCCCAATCCCCTCTCTCTCCTCCTCCTGTTTTACCTATAAATTTCACATCTTTTGGAAGCAATTCTGCTCTCGCTGCCAATTAATGTTCAAACTCGTCCAGCAATTAAACTGGTGGCCACGCAAATCCCCCCTTTTTAGTTTTCCAAGAAAAAATCTCTGTATTTTCTGGATCGCTCCATGTGTTGCCGAATATACCAATATGCTGTCTAGAGCGAGTACATCTAGATGTGCCTTAGTTATTAGTTACTGTACACCCAAGTGATTCAATCAAGCATATACAGAAAAAGAAACAGAATCAAGAAAATGCTCACACGAATCTCCATGTAAGATCAATGCCATAGGACTTAGATGTGATGGCACATCTAGATGTGCTTTAGCAAAACTGTATCAATATATACTGATGCCGTAAATAGAGACAACGCAGTTTAAGGTGATTGTTTTGCTGCGTTTTTTGGGTTATAATCTATCTACTTGTTAGAATTGCTCTTAAACTGTTTCCTTGTTCACGTCATTATTTAGTTTTCCCTGCAAAAGAACGTCACTATTTTGTTTGTTTCTGATAAAAACACTTTTCAAGGTGTTTTTCGCTGTGATACTAGAGGTCTTATAATAATTACTCCCTCTGTAAAGAAATATAAGACCTTTTAGATCACTATATTTCTTTACAGAGGAAGTACTCCCTCCATTCCTAAATATAAGTCTTTTTAGAGATTCCAACGCGGACTACATACGGAGCAAAATGAGTGATTCTACACTCTAAAATATGTCTATATAGTCCGTGTTGAAATCCCTAAAAAGACTTATATTTAGGAACGGAGGGAGTACTTTTTAATACAAGTAGCTTACTTATCTGGGTAAGCTTCTTGGAATTCACTGACCATAACTCCATATTCTTTCACATGGAAATGAAACCAGATGCGTACGAAGGAGGAACACAGCAGCTGCTGCGAGGACAAGATCAGCAGCTTACCTGAGGAGATACTGATCATGATCCTTGACAAGCTAGACGCGCGCACAACAATAACCACCACTGTCCTTTCAAAGCGGTGGCTGGATCTTCCTCGGCGATCACACGCATTTTATGATTTTTCCATTTATGATATTCTCCCTCCACGCTACCACAGGCTGAAGAAAATAGCTATGGAGACTAAGGCCAGCTATGAGGTGGTGAAGAGGACTCAGAATCTGACTGACATCTGTGACAAGTACGATCGGTATAATGCCATCAAAGACAGGAGTGAGCAGTGGATGTGGAAAGTCCGTCTGCTCACACCCATCCTGCAACGTTATGAGCGTCTGGCCATGCGATGCTATGTTAAACGGGTGAATGCATTCCTTCTGCCTCCCGATAATGTTCAGCGACGGTCTTTCCAGAAGCTGAGGCTTCAAACCTTTTGGAGGCCCGGTCTTGATGAATGGTTTAAGGCAGCGGTTGGCAGATGGGGGGTTGAAGATTTAGAGATTGTCGTCGAGAGCCCTTGCAAGCAATTGGGATTCTATCGGTTAGATAGATGCCAGAATGTGCGGCTGAAACGCCTTCTGCTATCCAATTACTGTCATTATTATGCAACCCCCCCATTGTTTTTTCAGAGGCTCACAACACTTACTCTGTGCAAGGGAAGTTCACGTCCCCACCTCGTATACGATATTCTGAGAGATTGCTTGCAGCTGGTGGATTTGAGGCTGAGGGATAGTCCGCATAGCCGAGCTCCTTTACACGTCAATTTTCCTAACTCAAGGTTGAAGAATCTGCAAGTGGACAACTGCGATATTTTTAAAATCTATCTGACTTCAGTGCCTTGTCTTGAAACATTTGCTTGTCGGGGTCAGCCAACCAAACTACGCTACGGTGAGGTGCCTCGGCTTAGGCATGTGAGTTTGAACTTCTTGGAAACTGGATGTGCATATACTGGTGAGCTTGATTTGATTCCTAGAAAAAACACCCATTCACTAAGCAAATTCTTTAAAGGGGTGCCGCCACCAGTAGAGGAGTTTTTTCTGCAATTGAGAGGGCATCAGGTGAGGAACCATTCCTGAAATGATCTTGTCTTTATCAATCATAATGTTGCATTGCTATATAAGGTGGTTCTAAATATCACTATATCATGTCTGCAGATGTGGCTTAAACCAACCGCCATAATCAGCCGGCTTACCAATCTGAAGAAGTTATTCATTGCAAACGTGCCAGTGGACTGGGATACATTCTGGATATTCATCCTATTTGCTGCCGTACCTTACTTGCAGTCGCTGCATGTTCATGTCTGTCCCTTGGCGACCCAATAACCTAATAACTATGTTTTTTTTGTCAAAACACGTACCTTTTTGATTTTGAAATATTTCTGCAAAGCAAATATCCTGAACTCTGAAAATCTGAATGCAGTTTGACAATAACTTGGAGAAGGTGAGTGCTGCTGGATCACTAGACGTGCAGGTCGAGCAACCACAGCACCATCACCTCAGAGAACTCGTGGTCATCGGCTTCGATGGAGTGGCGTGGCAGACCGGCTTTGTGAAGCGGATCATGAGGGCGTCGCGGAGGCTGGGGCGTGTCCATTTGCTTGACGGGCACGTCGTGGAGGACAAGGAGCAGGAGCTCGTCGGACTGGAGATTCTCCCGCACCGGCGGGAGTGGCATGAGTGCGAGAGGTTGGAGGTGCTCGAAGAACTCACAGATGGCACTGGTTTCCCAGTTCACAAGATAGTTTTGGAGTGACTTTTGATAATTAATACTTCCTCCGTCCGAAAATACTTGTCCTTGGAAATGAATAAAATGAATGTATCTATAACTAAAATAAGTCTAGATACAACCATTTCTAAGACAAGTATTTTCGGACGGAGGGAGTATGAGTTTGTTGTGCCGGTGGCCTGCCTCTACTAGACCACAAGCCTAACTATGGTGGCTGAGAAGAAAGAAAAGTGTGTCTATATGGGCAACTGGGTATCTTTGCTTTGATTTTGCTTGATTATGCAACGGTTGGATGTAGGCATGTGGAGTACGTAGCTGTTTAGATGAATCCGGGCCTGTTCATGATGTGGCTTCATTCGGCAGAAAATAGTGTTAGATACAACAAATCTAAGACAAGTAATAATATGGGGGGGTACCACTTTATTATGTATAAACGGTATTTTATTATCGACAAAGCTAATTTCCTGCTGGCAGGAATCGAAAAAGAAAGGGGCAGGACGTAGCTGTTTAGATGATTCCGGGCCTGTTCATGGTGTGGCTTCATTCGGCAGAAATTAGTGTTAGATACAACAAATCTAAGACAAGCAATAATATGGGGGTACCACTTTATTATGTATAAACGGTATTTTATTATTGACAAAGCTAATTTTCTGCCGGCAGGAATCAAAAAAGAAAGGGGCAGGACAGGATTCGAACCCACGACCTCCTGCAATTGGCCCACCACAGTAACCAACTAATCCAGACTTTGCTGCTGTCAAAAGTGCCCAGGCTATGAATATATTGCGTAGTGGCTCTCTGTTCAAGATTTAAAATGTGAACGACTCGCTAACTTTGATTGCGAATTCCGTTGACTGTCGCGATTTTTTTCTAAATTGGATCTGTCATTTTTTGGGGGTGCTAGATCTATTGGCACGCCCTCATTACATTTTTAGTAAAAAAAAATCTTGCTAAATATGGGATTTGAACTCATGCCTAGCAAATAATGTGAAACACACACTAAACAGCTCAGCTGGACCATTTGTTGCGAAAAAGAATGCACGCCATATTATTCGACCATTCCATGTTGCTTTCTTTCCTTCTTTTCTGTGAGGAGTTGATCAAATATACCCCAGCAACTGTTATGTGAATAACATGGTCACTCACACATCGCAAACCCGATAACTTATATATCCCTGTCCTGATAACTTCGGCGACCGAAGGGGGAGGGGGGAGTTGACGAACTTTTGTGTGAATAGCATGGTAAATCACACATTGCAGACCTGATAATTTATGCACCCTATTCTGATAACTTTGGCAGGAGGGGGAGGGGGGGTTGATGAAGTATCCTCTCCATAGTTTTTGTGTCAATAGCATGGTAACTCACACATCGCAGTCCTAATAGCTGATGTACAAATAACGTAGTAGCTTTTTTGACCCAAAAAAACTAGTGTAAACATACCTTCGATAACTTTTTGTATGAATAGTATGGTAACTCACACATCGCAGACCTGATAACTAATGTGA